GGTCTCTTCCAATCCTAATCTTCTATGATTCTAGGAGAGACACTGTTCAGAGCGACAGGATCCCCTTGGTGTGGGGAGGATCGTAGGGCGCCCGTTTCAGGGAGGGGCAGTGCCTGAGAGAAAGGAGGGGGCAGAGTCTAATGACTGACAAGGGAAAGCCTGAGAAGAGCTAGCCTGACCAATAGGGAGTGAGATGCCTGCCTTGGGAGCTCTGGAGAGGAGAGAAGTCAGTCTGGAGAAGCTGGAGCCAGCCAGGGAAAGGGCAGGGCTGGCTGTGGGGGCTGGTGACAGGGCTGGCCTTACCATGAGGCGAACTGAGGTGGCAGCCTTAGGAGCCAGACTGGGGGTGGGGGGGTGCCACTAGGACCCAGAGTGTAGAAAATTGTGTCTGCTGCTGGTGTATATGTATTCTCTCTGCTCTAGATGTACAGAGATGGTGGAGTGCTGTGCTGGAGGAAGGAGGGCACAAGAGACATAACAGGCAGGCAGGAGAAAAGGTGAGAGGGAATAACAGAAAGCAGCAGGAGCTGCAGAGAGAGAGAGGAGGAGGAGCCTCTTATATACCTCTCTATCACCCCCAGGAGCCTGAACTGATTAACACCAGCTAGGGTGACCAGATGTCCTGATTTTATAGGGACAGTCCCGATTTTGGGGTCTTTTTCTTATATAGGATCCTATTACACACCACCCCCTGTCCCGATTTTTCACACTTGCTGTCTGGTCACCCTGACACCAGCTTCTCAGGGAGCTTCCTGTTTCCTGCTGCTTCCCTGAACCCACTTGATGAGAACAGGCAGTCAACTGAAGTAATAGGAGCCAGTTAAGCCCTTAAGATGCTGATATCTTCCCTCACTCAGACCCTGCTACCAGCCTGCTTATTTGTCCCTTTCAATTGAGTGTTGAGAGCCACTATAGCTGGCACTGAACAGCAGTCATGAGTGAAAGAAGAAAACGCCCCTCTGGGGCAGCATTCAGAAAAAGAAAGAAAGCAAAGGAAGCTTTTCTATCTAAGCAGGAAGGAGCTCTCCTGAGATACATAGACACAAATATTCACGGTGAGCTTTCTGGCCCCAGTGAGGATGTGAGTGGTGAGGAGATGCCTGATCTTCCAGTTACTCAGAGTGCAGGTGACCCGGCAGCTACTGCAGCATCCATATCTCCATCTCAAATGGATGTAACCATGCACATTCCTGAAGAAAAGTGTAGATCAGAGAAGAGTGTGGTGGAGGCGCAAGAAACAGCTGCTGCTGAGTTTAGTTCCTTAAGTTTAGATGATCCAGGACTGTGGACCCACTTGAGCAGTAGCCTGAGGGACTTGTACTGCATGGGCCACAGCAAGTGAAAAACTTCATGTTCCCCAAAGACAATGAAAATAGAAGATTCCATCCAACACATTACTGGCATGAAATCCCCAATGGTGACAAAGTGGAGAGGCCATGGCTTATGTACTCAAAAACCCAGAATGCTGCATACTGTTTTTGTTGGAAACTCTTCCAGTCTAATATTCCAGCCACATTGGGTTCTACAGGAACAAAGGGCTGGAAAAATCTGGCTAGAAATCTGGTATGCCATGAGAAGGCAGCAAATCACCAGAGAGCATTCCATAGGTGGAAAGAGCTTGAGATGAGACTAAGGTTAAAGGCCACCATAGATGATCAGCATTAAGAGAAGATTGCATCAGAGTCTCTTTACTGGCAAAACGTTCTGAAAAGGCTCATTGCCATTGTGAGAATGCTTGCTACCCAAAACCTAGCACTGTGTGGCACTTCAGATCAGCTGTATGTGCCAGACAATGGAAACTTCCTTAAAATTGTGGAGCTGATAGCTGAGTTTGATGCTGTACTCCAGGAGCATCTAAGAAGAGTCACCACCCAAGAAATGTACACACACCACTACCTTGGAAAAACAATTCAAAATGAGATCATACAGTTCCTGGCAACAAAAGTCAAACACAAGATTGTGGCAGATCTGAAGTCAGTAAGATATTACTCTGTTATTCTGGACTGCACACCTGACATCAGCCATACGGAACAAATGACTTTAATGGTGCATTTTGTAACAACAACAGAACCTAGTGAAAATGTCCCTGCAATGGTCACTATCAGAGAGCATTTTCTAGAATTTATTGACATTGATGATACTACAGGAGCTGGTATGACAAATGTGCTTCTTAAAAAGCTGGAAGATACGGAAATTGCGATAGCTGACATGAGAGGTCAAGGCTACGATAATGGTGCCAACATGAGAGGAAAGAACAGAGAAGTGCAGACACGGATCCGAGAATTAAACCCTCAAGCTTTTTTTGTCCCATGCAGTTCTCATTCATTGAACTTGGTGGTCAGTGATGCAGCATCAGCTTCTAGTGAGGCTGCTGATTTTTTTAATGTAATTCAAAGCATGTATGTATTTTTCTCTGCATCAACTCATCGATGGCAAATTTTGAAGCAACATCTGGGAACATCTTCTCTGACACTGAAACCACTGAGTGCCTCACAATGGGAAAGTCGAGTGGAGGTGATAAAGCCTATCAAACACCAAATTGGGAAGCTAGATGATGCCATAGTTGCCATTATGGAGGATAATGCTATGACAGGAACTGTTCGTGGGAGAACAGTGGCAGAGGGAAATGGAATCACCAGAAACATACATAACTTCAAATTTCTGTGTGGCTTAGTGTTGTGGCATGGCATACTGTTTGAAATAAATGTTATAAGGAAGAGACTCCAAGGTGTTGACCTTGATATATCTGGAGCAATGGAACAACTGGAAAAAGCTAAGTCACACCTACAGTCTTACTGGTCAGATGAGGGATTTCAAAACTTTCTGAAGAGTGCACAGAAGTTGGCAGAGGAACTTCCCACTGAAGCTATTTTCCCACTCATTCAAGAATACAAGAGTCACCGAAGAAGAAAACATTTTGATTACAAGGCACGGGATAATCCTATAAGAGACCCCAAACAACAATTCAAAGTTGAATTCTTTAATCAGGTGCTAGATTGTACAATACAGTCAGTTGAAGAACATTTCATGCAGCTCAAGGAACACAGCAGTATATTTGGGATGTTGTATGATTCCAAAACTCCTCACTATACCCGAAGAAGACCTACACCAGCAATGCAGGGCACTAGAGACAGTGTTGACACATGATGACATGTGTGATATTGATGCGAGTGATTTAGGTGATGAACTGAAAGCCCTTTCAAGATACATTTCAGCAGGATCGACTCCAAAGGCTGTTCTGGAATATATGTGCACAAATAAGATGACCACCCTCTTTCCAAATGCTTTTGTTGCTCTGTGCATACTTCTAATACTTCCTGTAACAGCTGCCAGTGGAGAACACAGCTTCTCCAAGCTGAAGTTAATAAAAACACATCTACGCTCCACAATGACACAGTAGAGGCTGGTTGGCCTTGCAACCATCTCAATAGAGCATGAGTTGGCCCAGACTGTGGACCCTCAGAAAGCAATTCAAATCTTGCAACCAAGAAGGCACAGAAAGCATCACTTTGATTATTCAAGCAGATAAAAATGCCAGTGTTTACTATGCAGACAAGAAAAGTTACATTTGCTGTTCAGGCGTTTGAAATTTAAGTGTTACTTAAAATTTTTGAACAAGGCATTTTAAGTTTTTAGTTCCCCTTTATTGGGGTAGGTAGCAGAGCTGTACCATGAGAGGAGTAGAACAGGAAGAAGGCAGAATTGAGACCTTTCGAAGTTTTGGCCCAAGTGAGGGCGCATGGGGGCGTCATTTGAGCTCCCCGCCTCAGGTGCCAAAATGTTGTGGCTGGCCCTGGATGGTGAGGCCCAGGCTTGCCTGCAGGGTCCCCCTGAGAACTGGCCTCTGGGGCCCGGCAGCAACATCCCTCAGCTTGGGCCTCTCCCTCTTCAAGGCGACTTCCAGTTTGTAGAGCTTTGTTGGGAAAACTTCCCCTGCCCAGACCAGCCGGGTTAGCCCTGCAGCTCCCTAGGTGAGATCAGTCACCACATGGCGAGCTCTGTTCTGGCTGCGAGTGTCTCTGAGCACTGGGGTGGGAGACTAACACTAAGATCTTAGTAGAGTTTTGTAACCTGCACCCTGAGCCCTGCACCGCTTTGTGGGGAGGGGAAATCCTGGTACCAAAAGCAGCCTAACTCCTGCCAACAGAGATCAGCCCCTCTGCAGTGACTGAGGAACCCAGAGCCACCTCTGAACCTGAGGCTCATTCGCTGAGTTGTGAGTCACCATCCTTCAGTTAGATAGACTGTTTGGGAGACCCCCACACCTCGAACTTTGTCCTCAAGCCAGGGGTGAGGGTTTGGGGATTTTGTTATCTGCTACCTATTAAACCTGTGGAGGGACTCACTATCTTATCCCACCTGAATCTATTGTGCTGTACTGAACCCAGTCAGCCATGTTGCTAACTGCTACACATGTAAGGGGACTGTTGGCCCCTTACTAAAACGCAGTGGGGATGTTTTGGCTAGCTGCCAGTACCAAAAGGAAGGGGTAGGGATGATGGGAAATCAGGACCCTGAGACTGACAGTCCCCAAGAACAATGGGGAGAGGCCAATGCTCCAGGTCAGCCTGATTGACAGGGCAGGCAGGCCAATGAGGGAGTCAGGAGGTCGGGGGGGGGGGGGAGGCAGGGTCCCATCCTCTGTGGGAGCTGGAATTGCCTGGATCAGGCAGAGTGGGACCAAGCTAGGGAGAGAGCAGGATCCCGAGCTGAGCTGAGGAGCAGAGCTGTGCCAGCCAGAGAGAGTCAGAGAAGCAGCCCATGAAGCAGGTCAGTGCTGGGAGCAGAGTCACAGAAGCAGCCCACAGAGCAGACCTGTGCTGGAAGCAGAGCTGTAGCAACCAGAGCCAGAGGGGCCAGAGAAGCAGCCCAGGGAGCTGGGGGCAGAGCAGCAGCCGTGCTGAGGCAGAGTGGAGCTGGAGCTGAGGCAGAGTGGCACGGGCCCAGCGCAGGGAGACACCCCAGCCAAGACGCCTGGCAGGCCAGACTTGGAGGGGGATCGTAACCCTGACGGGGGGGCTGACACTGGGAAGAAGGGTCCTGCCACCTGGAGCCTGAAGGCATGTGGCCGCCACCAGAGCAAGTGTCCAACCTTCAGCATCCCTGCAGCACAGCTAGGGCCTGAGAAGGGGCCTGAGACGTGTGAGGAACAGAATGAACTTCCCTTACATTCCAGAGACGCTGGTTGTGATGTTCCCATGCTGCAAAGCGAGGTGATGTGTTTTCCTTTAACCTTTCCTATTTTTCCTTTTTTTTAATTAATTGCTGTTTAATAAATTGTATTTGCTTTGAACTGTATGTAATGATCAGTGGGTCAAGGAAGTGTCCAGTGCGGAGAGAGCACCCTGGGGTGGGGACACCCTAGCCCAGCCTTGTTGGGATTACGAGGACTCTGCCACACAGGAGAGTGGAAGGGGAGCCCTCAAGGTCAGGCAGGCCTCTGAGTAAAGGAAGTGGGAGCAAGGACTCAGATCCTTTCACTAGCCCATTGCACCAGGGTAGTGTATAAGCCAGAAGAGTTCCCCACAATAGTGGTACCATTCCCCGGCTTACACACAGAAGATTCATGGCTACAGGCCATCAAGGGCCCCTACAAAGTGAATGTGTCAGCGCAACACTAATGGTACGTTTGCTATATCAGGTCATGTGACTGGGGAACTTCACAGGTATTATCAGCGTGGGCACCTGAGAGTACTGTTTTACCCGGTTATATTTATCTCCCGTTTAATATTATGACTGTGTTGAATATATTGTGTGTGTTGGTTATTTCTTGGGAGTCTTCAACTATCCAGCAAGTAAAGTGGGGGTTACCCTGTGGTCAGAATTTTCCTCCTCAGCTGCCCTGGTGATGCTGCCAGGAAGGAGCAAGTGGGGTGGAGGTACTGCCACATAAATTCGTATGGGAAGAAAATAAGGAAGTTACCCTTTACGGAGAGGGACGCAGGATCCAGAAGAACCCATAAGGAGACTGGCACTAAAGGAGGTAATTCAGTGGATAGCGGGTGCTACAATGGCCCTCCAATCCCTCAATCAGGTGAGTCCCTGGGAGCTTCAACACATGACTGGAGTCATACTAAGTGACTCCATTGCTAGGCAACCTCTCCCCTGCTAAGCAAGGTCCTCTGGGAAGGGACCAGAAGGGACCTTTTGTCTGGAGTGATTACATTCCAGTGGTCAGACACTTAAGCTAACACCCCTCCATCACTAACCCTTTGCCACCCACCTCTGGATTCCAGTCCAACAGGAAGGCACACAAACAATGCAGAAGGCAAAGGGGCTGCACATTTGAAATGGAGGTTGCAGTTTAGTAAAGATACATACAGAGAATTCATACTCTCATCCAAGTTTCATGGATTGTCCAAGCAGATTCCCCAAGTGTTCACATGTGGGCACAAGGAACTGTACATGGTGCTCTCCTGTGCCCCTCACAAGCCCATGCAGTCTTTGGCCCAGTGGTTTCTTACCCCTTGAGCCCAGCCATCACTAACCATGCAACACAAAAGGACAGTGATGTGACATGCCTGCCTTGCTTTGTGATTGTTCCACCCCAGGTGTCAGGATCCCAACAAGGGCAGTTGGGGCCAAAGGTCAGACCAGGGGAAAACCTGATTCTGGGAGTAGCAGAGGAGTTCATAATCAGGGTCGATGCCAAGGTCCAAGTCAGGGTCTGGGTCAGGAGGCAAGGTCCTAATCAAGCAAAAGTCAAAGCCAGGAGTTCAAGAGCAGGCATAGTCATGGCTGCTACAGGATAGCCACACAGTTGCCCAGACTCTTCCTGGAATACCCTTGGAGTTTATATAGGGAGGGGAGCCAGCCAGGAGGCTGCTGCCTGTCAGATCCCTTGAAGTGGGACTTCCCCTTGTTAGTGTCCACAGCAGATCATAAGCAGTGGAGCACAAGCTAGTAATAGCTGCCTCTGCATGGCAGTCTGGTGATGTCAGCTGCCTAGCAGTTCTTCAGGCCTGGGTTCTAGACCTGTAGGACCTTACATTACACCCTGACCCAGGAGGTGCCAGCCTGGGTTTGTTTGGATGGACTGCATAGAAGGCTGCCATGAGATCAGGTGCATGGACTTGGGACACAGGCTCCCATGATTACTCTTCTGGGCCATAGCCCTCCCAGTCAACAAGGTACAAGAGGGAGCTGCATCTGATTTTTGAGTCCAGTATCTCATGGACCTCATACTCATCCTTGGCTCCACACCAGAAGAGGCAATGGTTGAGCCCAGTGAGCAAAGGGGCCATTGATGTAGGGTTTTAGCAAGGGTACGTGAAAAACTGGGTATATTTTGAGGGATCTGTTTAACCAAAGCTTTCTGGTCACTGGGTTGATTACCTGGCTGATGGAATACAGCCAAGGTATCGGTAGTCCAGTTTACAACACAGCCAGTTGGTGTAAAGGTTTTGGGCTGAAAGCCACACTTTTTGCCAGATGGTGAATGCCAGGACTTCCTGGCACCAGCAATGGGCACACTGTATGTAGTCCTCCTTGTCCTTATCCAAATGAGGCTTGAGTTCTTCTTGGACTTCATGGATCTGCTGCACCCAATTAGCAGCCATGGGATTGGTGGAGATGACAGGTATGGCCAGGTGCAAGCCACAGGTTGCATAGAACAGACTCTGCCCAGTGACAACGTGGTTGGTGTTGTAAGCAAACTCTGCTTGGGGTAGGAGGCTCGACCAGTTGTCTTGGTGGAAATTCTTGAAGCACCACAAGTGTTGTTGTAACACTTGATTTGCTCGTTCCGACCGACCATCAGTTTGTGGGTGATGTGCGATGGATGTGTAAGTGCAGACCCCAAACAATTGTAAGGGTTCATGCCAAAACTGCAACACAAACTGTGGACCCCAATCAGTTGTGACTTGCTGTGGGAGTCCATGGAGATGGGTGACATGAGTCACCAGGAGCTGGGCCGTTTCTTCCGCACAGGGCAGGTGCGCAGCGGGGACGAATTGGGCCATTTTTGTCAGCTGGTCAACCACAGTGAGGACTAGAATGTGCCCGTTAGAGATGGGAAGCTTGGGTATGGAGTCTAGGGTAATGGCCATTCAGGGTCTAGATGGGGTTTTGGAAGGCATTAGGGTGCTCAGGGGTTTCGAGTGCAGTCTATTGGTGTAGGTGCATGTCTTAAAGGAATCAGCATATGAGTGCATGTTTGTGCGTATTCGGGGCCACCAGAAGGCGCAGATGGCCAAACAGGTGCCCAGATGGCTTGCTAATGGTGAGTCATGACAGAGCTGTAGTATCTCTAACTGGGGGGTCCTGGCAGACCATACAAGGGGCCTTTGACACAGAGCAAACTATTCTGGACCTCCAGATAGTGGCATCACTCTTTAAAGGCCACTTTGATGTCTAGAAGCTCCTTATTTAGAATTTCATAATTCTGTTCAGCTGGAGTGAACGTCTGTGAATAGTAGGCACAAGGGTGGAGGCGCTGTTGAGAACCATGCCTTTGAGAGAATATGGCCCCAATTGCCACATTGGAGGCATCGGTCTCGACAATGAAAGGTTGTGCTGGGTCAAGATGGACCAGGATTTGGGCACTGGTAAAGGTCATCTTGAGCTGGTTGAATGTTTATTAGGCCTCCGGAGACCAGATGAAGGTGGTGTTTTTGCAGAGAAGCTCTGTAAATGGGGTGATTTGGCCTGACAACCCTGAGATGAAGTGTCTATAAAAATAGCAAACCCCAGGAAGCATTGCAGCTCCTTGATGTTTTGGGGGGACACCGAGGTCAGTATCGTTTCCACCTTCTTGGGGTCCATTCAGAGGCCATCAGGGGACAGGATATAGCCCAGGAACACCATGGACACTGGTCAAAGCTGTACTTTTCCAGCTTTGCATACAGGGCATGTTGACAGAGCCATTCCAAGACCAACCGGACATGCTGGGTATGTTGTTTGGGATCTTCAGAAAAGATGAGGATATTACAGGTAGACTGTACTGGTCTAGGATGCCATGGAAGACCTCATTCACAAAGTGCTGGAATGTTGCCAGCTCTGATTCTATCTTCGCCAAATATGGCCAAACAACAGATATGGCCAAACGACACCCTGGCACCTTGCTGCAGCTCAATTGGGCAGTCATAATCACGGTGTGATGATAGGGTGTCAGCATTCTTCTTTTTGAAGGTATCACTGTACTCGCTGTACTGGAGGGAGAAGTGCTGGAGTCAAGTCTAGTGACTGTCCCACCTGACCCATGGCCAGGACCGCGGGGGCGTGTCTTGGTTCTCGGGTTCATCAGACAGTGCGGGTAGGCAGACTTGCTGGCAGAACTTGGAGCAGAAGCTAGCCTCGTGCTCATGCCAAAGGATGTGTGGATCATGAGTCACCAGCCATGAAATGCCAACGATTTTGGGGAAGTGTGGTGAGCAGATCATTCCAAACTGAATGACCTCCTGATGGTCCTGAACAGCAACTCCCAGAGGCACTGTCTCCAGTGTCACTGGCACTGGTGAGTGTGAGAAGTGCCTCTGCCCACTCCAGCAAAGGGCAGCCCACAGCCCAGCCGTGACCAGCCCACCAGCTGCAGGCTCTCTCAGTCTCTCCCCTCCCCCAGGTCCAAGCTCTGAGCAGCTCCATGCTGCCTGAGGGTTCATGGCCCTGACACTAGACGCTGGCAGAGCTGACCGATCCAGCCAGTTCCACAGAGGGATGGCCAGATAGCTGACAGGAGAGAGCTATCTATAGTCTCCATTAGGTTGGGGACAATCTTTGGTTGAACCAGAATACCAGGGCTTGGGCCGTATCAGCATCTATGAAGTTGTCCGCTGCCCCAGAATCCACTGGTGCCCACTCTGGGGCAATTCAGCAAGGCTCCCTGGAACACGGAGTCAGACCTGGACTTGAAGGTGCAGGAAGTGCTCACCATACCTGGCATGCCTTGGTGAGGAGTAGGGGGGCATTATCTTGGGGCTCACCCAGGCCAACCTCCTGTACTGGGCCTGGGCCTGGGCCTGGTGATTTCCTGTGCTAGAACTCAGGATGGCTGTTGGCAAGAGTATGGCCGGACCCTCCACAGTAGAAACACAGCCCACGGAAGTGGCAGCAGTCTTTCCTTGGGGTCACATGGTGGCGGGCTCTATCCAGCTATATGGGTTTGGGGTTCTGGGTTGAAGACAAGTATTGAGGGGCACCGGCCAGGTGGTAACACAGACCCCTTACTTTCCTCACATTGTTAACTGAGCCTATTGTCAAATGCATATGACAAGGTAGACAAAGGCATCTATGTTGGTCAGGGCCTCCACACGAACTTAATCTCCTTGTGTAGTCCTCACTGGAACTGGTAGAGCTGGGCTGCTTCATTGCATTGTGTTGGAGACTAGTCACTAAAAGTAGGCAGCGTAAGAGGAGATCCACACCTCAGATGCCAACTTCCATTTTTCTGGGTGGGTGCTCCACCTCTGCCCCAGCCTTGCTCCGCCTCTTCCCACTCCTACTCCACCCCTTCTCCCCCGCACCTTCTGCCCACTGCCAAACAACTGATTGGCAAGGCCCTCCGAACAGCTGATTGGCGGGTGGCTGGTGGGTGCAGAGCACCCATTACTTTTTTTCCATGGGTGCTCCAGCCCCACACAGTTTCCTGGGACACTTTCTGGATTGCCCCTGGGATTTATATAGGGCAGGCAGCCAGTCAGGAGCTATGCTGCCTGTCAGACCCCTTGAGGTGGGATTTCCCATGTCTGTGTCCACAGCAGTGGAGCGCAAATTGGTTACAGCTGCTACTGAGTGTCTGCTGCCTGGCAGCTCTGCAGGCCTGGTTGCTACTAGACCTTACCCCAGCTGCCCCACTCTTGGCATGGACGAGACCACTATAGCACGGGAGTCCTGAGGGCAGGATGACTGCAAGGCAGGACACGTGCTCTGAATCACTGCCCCGTCCATGCACAGTGGCCCTACAGGAGTGCATGCAGGAGGCACTCCATCTGTGCAAGGAACAGAGTCGCACACTGGGGATGGCCAAAGCGGCGCTGTGCAGAACATGGGGGGGATTATCTGCATTCATGTCTATGAATGTTCTATAGCTGTGAAGCAGGTGGTTATTGTTTCACTGGCTGAAAGGTGACTAAGGTTAAACCCTGCAAAAACCCAAGCAATGGTTGTGGACAGAATTCAACTGCCTGGTGCTCACGTGGACAATACCAGGAGTCCACTGCATGAAGGCTACCTCCAGCCCTTCTGGAGAAATGTATAAACCAATCTGGAGCTGGTTCAGGGGAGGCTCCCCACAGAGGGATCTGTGCAGCCACTGGGGGGGAATGCACTGGTCATGAATATCTGTAGCACTGTCTGCTGAGAAGGCACGGAAAGAATCCTCTGGCTGTGTCCGGGCACATGGGCAGTGCCCTCCCTGGCATACAGGACACCGGGTTCCATGGCAGGGAGACCGTTCTCAAGCTACTTCCTTCTTCCTCCCCCAGCACCAGCTGCCCTGGAGCAGCAATTGCCGTAAGTGCAACTCATGTGACGCCACAGCTTCCTGTGCATTTCCCAGTGTCTGCTTCGGCTGCGGGTGCAGTAAGTGACACGCCGGGTGCTGTGCTCCGCGGCTCAGGCTTCCCCTTGCTTGTCCTGTTCCAGCCTTTCTGGAGAGAGCGCCATGCTGCGCCGCAAGCCATCCAATGCCAGCGACAAGGAGCAGGCGCAGAAGAAGAAGGTGAGTGTGAGAAGTGCCTCTGCCCACTCCAGCAAAGGGCAGCCCACAGCCCAGCCGTGACCAGCCCACCAGCTGCAGGCTCTCTCAGTCTCTCCCCTCCCCCAGGTCCAAGCTCTGAGCAGCTCCATGCTGCCTGAGGGTTCATGGCCCTGACACTAGACGCTGGCAGAGCTGACCGATCCAGCCAGTTCCACAGAGGGATGGTCTCTCATCAGACCCTGCTGGGGTGGACGGCGCCAGCCTGCGCCCCACAGAAGGACTGTGCTGAGAGCAGACCCCCCCGTGATGGTGGGTGGGAGGGTGACTAGTCTGAACAAAGACCCTCTGCCATGTCTGGGGCTGGCAGTGAATTGTGGAGCTACAGGAATTAGAAATGGCAAAGTCCTCTCAGCCTTTGGTCCCACTCATCCCACTCCCTGGGTGCTGCAGGAATGTCTCCAGGGTTTGGTCCAGGCTCGACTGCTTAGTGGTAAGCCATGACCCCCATCACCTCTCTGGGGGAACGACACTATTCCAGTGCAAGCAAAATGTTCCTGATATTCAGCCTACATTTCCTCTGCTTGTGTCTCCCCATTGCATCTACTTAGCTGCTCTCCACGCATCTCCCTAGATCCCCCTCTCCCACCCTTCCCTTCCCCCTCAGGTAGCACTCGGCTGCACTGCTAGTCTCCTTGGCCACTGCTCCTGGTTTCGCAACCCCACCTGATCAGTGGGGTTGCTCTTCTCTGAGCTCGCTCTCATTTGCCAAGACCTGTATGGGGCTGAAGAGCTCAGAACTGACAACGGTGCAGGGTGAAAATCCAATGCTTGGCTTCTTGCTCCAGGGGCCAGTGACCTGGCATTGGGATCCCATGGTGACAGTGAGGGAGGAGGATGAATCCTGCTGCTGGGGCCCTGGGTTGTGGAGTTTGCCTTCGCTTGCTGGTCGGAGGTGGCCCCAGGCACCAGATGAGCTAGGAGGGTGAATCATATGAGTTGGAGCTGGGAGTTAGCAGATCCCAGCACTAGTGCATTGCGCTGTAGGCACTGCCACATTTCAAGGCTGGGGGGCCAACTTCAGCTGCCTAATGTCACTGAAGTCCATGAAGATCCCCTGGGTTTGCACTGATGTGAGTGAGAGCAGAGTCCAGTCTTGGAACGATCCTGGCACGAGTGCATTGGAATGTGGCTCCTGCCCAGCGCTGAGTGCAGGGGTGTGAAAACCCCTGCTTGTGCATTTGTGGGTGGGGGGGATGGCACTTGTCATTTCCTTCCTGTGAGGGTGCTGAAGGGCTGGGCTGCGTCTGCAGAGAGCAGTATCTGGTCCGCTCTCAGGCTGGTGAGAAACTTTTGCAGAAACATCACCAGGGTTTTAGCTCATGGATCAAAGCCCTTCAAGGTGTTTGTGGTGCAGGCAATTCTAGGCTGAGCTGATCACGTGCTGCTAACCACTTCCTCTGGCAGCCTGCAAGGACTGGCTCCAGTGAGTGCTCAACACCAGCTAGCACGGAGCAACCTTAGGCAGGAGGAGGCTGAAGGAGACAGGGCTCCTGGGTTTGGCCATTGGTACCCCTTCCCCAACACTTCAGGGTCAAGCAGCCTGGATCTCCCTGATCCAGCAGAGTCCCATGGGGTGCAGTGGCCATGCTAGGCCAGTCATGAGGACAGGCCAGGGGGCCTGGTGTGCAGCCAGCGCAGGCCTTTCATATTGGCTCCAGGGCCTGCCTAGAGCACACACACAGCACCAGACCCATCTCCATAGGGGCGGCTACAAGCATCGCCACAAGCCATTAGAGTGATACAAAGGATTTTCCCCAGGACATGCCTCCCCAGTGTTGTTCATGACCTACACACAAAGAAGTTAGATAAAGACATCAAATACTCCTGCTGGAAGGGTGCAGTGTAGCACTACTTTTACTCTTAGACACCAGACAGATCACACACGGTAATCAAAACCAGAGAGAAAGAAACCAGGCTGCTCCCTAAGGCAGGAGACACTACTTACCCCACCTTGTTCTACTCTGGCTTTTTCCAGAGTGACTCTGATCACACGCTTCCCTACAGAGTCCGTTAGACTGCAAGCAAGACCAAGAAAACCTCCACTCTAAAAGTGATAGCTTGCAATTCCAACACAGTCCTCAATACGCCACAGCCAACTCCAGGATTAACCTCCCCAGGAACCTGCCCCTGATTAACTTCCCCAGGGACCTGTCCCCTATCTAATCTCCCCAGACACACTGCCCCCGACTGCACTTCCCAGGAACCCCAAACCCCGACTAACCTCCCCAGAAACCCACCCCCAATTAACTTCCTCAGGAACCTGTCCCCTATCTAACCTCCACAGGAACCTTGCCCTGATAAACTTCTCCAGGAACCCAGCACATATATAATCGCCCCAGGAACCCATCACCTAAGTAACCTCCCCAGGAGCCCCACCTGTATCTAATCTCCCCAGGAACCCTGCCCCCGACTATGGTTCCCAGGAACCCCAAACCCCAACCAACCTCCCCAGGAACCCCACCCCCACCAAGGTGTAATCTCCCTCAGTCTCCCTCCTACTCCCCATGCCTCTGATTCCAATTTCTTAACGCACTCCCCCTTCCTGGCTGCCGTCACAGGCTCATTCCTGGCACCTCCATATTTTTATGTCTCCTGCCTGGGCCTCGTTGAGGGTCTACCTTCTTCTCTGAGGCAGCCTGGCTTCAGCTCTATTGGAAACAATGAGGGATAGTGGCCATCTTTACTAGGGGAAGTCCGGGGCTAGCATTAGGCTGATACATGGTACTGCAGTGTATCCATCTTCCCCAGGCTGCCCTCTTGTTCTTCAGAGTCTCAGCTTTCAATTTAAACAATAGTGCCTCTCTAGCAGTTACGGTTGTGACATAAAACTTGACCTGAACATAACCGGGGAGGGATAGCTCAGTAGTTTGAGCATTGGCCTGCTAAACCCAGGGTTGTGAATTCAATCCTTGAGGGGGTTATTTAGGGATCTGGGACAAAAATCTGTCTGGGGTTTGGTCCTGCTTTGAGCAGGGGGTTGGACTAGATGAGCTCCTGAGGTCCCTTCCAACCCTGATAGTCTATGATTCTATGACTGATGCAGCCATGTCTGCCTGAGTCTGCAGAGAGCCTGAGACAATTGCTCTGAGGTATCATCTGCCCCACTTATTTCAGTGGGTGGTAAGTCAGATGTCAGTGCTGATGTTGTCATTGTCAACACTGAACAATTTCAGTGCCCATGCAAGGAGAGCAGCCTGCACTGAGTGATGGTTCATTTTGGAGGTAGGAGCAGGTGGAGTTGGGAGATACCACCACTTGTTGTTTCCTCCTGCCACAAGGGAGCCCAGCCCAAGGGTCCCATGGAGTGCAGAGAGCTCACATTATCACCTTTCGGTAGCTACTGAGAGCAGCGCCTCATTCTGGCATCGTGAGTGAGTGGGGCTTATTGTATGGGCGGAGCTTGGAAGAGTACCCACTACATCCCCCTCCTCCCCGTAATCCCTGTAGGAGCCTCTCTGTCATCGGCAAAGACTGTAGGAAAACGGCAGCTATCTTGGCTGAGGGGAGCTTTGGCTTTAGTCCCATTGAGAGGAATAGGAGAAGGCGGTCATTTTGGATAAGGGCAACATTTCACAAGTTTGAAGACAACAAATCAGGAGCTAATGAGAACCCAAATCTGTCCTCCCCCAACACTGTGAGAGTGGGCAGCTCTGCAAGGGAGAGGATGAGGAAGAGGAAGCCACTATTCATGTTGACCTCAGCCAGATGAATGTGGGCATCGCCCCACTTTGGAGGTGATATATTGAGGGCAGGCAGTGAGCTCAGGAGTGTCTGTGCAGGGCTAAATGAGGGTTTGGTTTCCACATGGCATGGGAGGTTACAAGCCTCGTGCAATCAGCAGCCCTTGGAAATATCTATCCCCCCACTGCTGTCCTGGCCCAGGAACGACAACCCACCCCTGCAGGTGCTAGACTCCCCTGCTACGTCTGGGGCACTCTGCGGAGAGTCTGTCCCTCCAGTCTGACACAGCAGGCCCTTGCAACAGCCCTGCACAGAGTGAATGAGACATTGGGAAGTACCACATCCTTCCTCCTCTCACCATGGAAACAGGCCCTCTCTGGGGAAGGCAGGGCAGGCTGAGGCAGCATCATAGCAGCAGGCCTCGCTGGGCATCCCCTCCCCTCTCACTGCCCCACCCTCCACTCTCACTTCCCCTCCTCTCAGGGGCCTAGGCTCTTAGTCCTCCGGCCCTACTTTCCTTCTCTAGCTGTTGGCACCCTGCGTTCCACCACCCTCGCCGAGCCTCTTACTGACGCTAGTCAGTCACTTTCCATTTCCCCATTGCTACTGGCATTGAAACTCCTGCCTGACCCCCCTTTACTTCCAGTGAGCGCCATCCCCTGCCAAGGCTTTCTCCAGCTGCTCTTCCAGGCACTTGGCATTCCCAGCACCTGCCCCCTCCGCTTCACTCCCGGATGGGTGGCCTAGCGCCAGCCCCGCGTGTCCCCTAGCGTCAGCCCCATGTGTCCCCACTGCCTCATTGATAGACGGGTCGCCTAGCGCCAGCCCCTCGTATCCCCTCCAACTCACCGACAGACAGGTCGCCTGGCACCAGCCCTGCATGTCCCCTCCGACTCACTAACAGACTCATTGACAGGTAATCTACTGCTGGCCCCCCGCGCATCCCCTCCAACTCAGCGATAGATGGGTCGCCTAACACTGGCCCTGTGCGTGTCCTCTCTGACTTACCGACAGATGGGCTGCCTAACTCAGGGTCTATACGTGTCTACTCTGCCTCACTGACAGACACCATCTCCTAGCGCTGTCCTCCTATGTGTCCGCTCCAACTCATTGACAGACACCACCCTGTAGTGCCAGCCCTGCACACATCCCCTCTAATTCAACAATGGACACTGTCCCCTGGTGCCAGCCCCATGCACGTCCTATCTGACTTGCTGACAGATGCTGATCCGTAATGCCAGCCCCATGCATGTCTCATCTGACTCCCTGACAGATGCTGA